AGAGCATAAACCGTCCACATGAGGCGGTCAATTTGTTCGTAGACAGTCAAGCGGCTATAAGATCCATGCAATCATCAGCGGTCAGTTCCAAAAATGTACTGGCAAGCAGGGAGTCACTAGATAGCCTGAGCACGACTTAGTCAGTGAGGATCTACTGCGTTCCCAGCCACTAAAGCATAGACGGTAACGAAACCGCGGACGAACTTGCAAAGGAAGGCGTTAGACTGGCGAGTGAAAGAACAGAAAACGTCCCTATCTCCCTAAGAACACTCCAAAGCGAGCTAGAGAGACGGGCTGACGCAAGCGCAAAAAGCAGGTGGAGGAGTAATTCCGCAACCTGCAGAATATCAAAAATCATGTGCAAAAAGCACAACGAGAAACTCAAACTCTGCGTGCTGCATCTTCCTCGGAAGGACTGCAGAATGTTAATGAGTATTCTTACAGGTCACTGCCTGTCTGCTAGACATGCAGTCAAGCTGGATATGACCGACAACGCCAAATGCCGGTAATGTGATGAATCCGAGGCAATCAAAACCTTGGAGAATCTCATTTGCAAATGTCCGGCCCTAACGAGGGCTAGAATGAGATACCTAGGCTCTCCAGTTCTGGCATCGCTAGAAGATGGCTCCAGGAGGAAGCCAGGCGAACTCCTTGCCTTTGCGAAAAACACCTTGATATTCAAGGATCTCGAAACCCGCATAAATAGTCTCTAGGTCCATCCAGGAGTTTCCCCGGATAGCTATGGGCCATATTGGCCTATGTGTGGCCCCTAACCTTATATAACCTATGGCGGTAGCAAGCAAGACGTATTCGGATCTAGTCGACGATGAAGCTAAAGGCGGTGTTTTAGACAAGGCTACAGAGACGTGAGACGATCCTTGCGGAAGTATTTCTGGAAAAGGCTGGGCCAGGGTTGCAACGGGATTTGGTTCCAAATGGAGGAGACCATATGCCTCTGGTGGCAGTGTCTACAGTTGCCAGAGTTGCATTGCTGTAGGCTGTGTCCTTTTCGTAGGCAATTGAGACAAAGATGTAGCCTTTTTGACTCTCTATACCGCTGATTGGCGTTCAATCCTAAGAACTGTGTGCATTTTGTCAAATAATGTTCCCTAGACTCGCACAAGGTACATGATGGCATAGCTGATGATGAAGCAATGAGGGCGCTACGACAGAATTTGTTAGCTACTTTTCCAACCTGTTTGCTAGGTGCTTGGTTTACCATAGCGTATTCCAAATTTTCCATCATGCGGCATCTAAGGTCCAAGAACGATGAGAATTCATACCAACTTGGCAGCTCCTTGGAAGGCAACCCTTCTCCCCACCTCTCATGGGTCTGAATGTCCAGTTATGAAACGATGAGATGAATAAGAGGCCGTCATAGATTTCCTGCGTAGAGGCCATAGTAGCCAGGGCGCGCAAATGAGAATTTGCCTTGTCGCTTAACTGCCGCAGACTACTTGCGGATCCCTTCTCCACCCCTGGTAGCTTGAATAACGACCGAACATGTGCCTGAAAGTGCAATAATTTATTATCAAATCTCGACGTTAACAATTTTAAAGCCCTGTCGTAATTATTTTCCGTGGGCTCCAGCGAGCGAATTGCGTCCAGTGCAGTGCCGTCCAAACATGCACGAAGATGCTGAAATTCTTCCACCTTTGTTAGTTCTTCGTTTTTTCCCACTACCGTGTTGAACATGGCGTAGAAATCCGGCCAATCGATGTATGCTCCGCCAAATCGCGGAAGTTTAAATTCCGGTAGCCTGGTAGGCCGCGAATTGCACTTTTTTTTTTTTTTTTTTTATATTCGATATATATTTATTACACTTACAATAGACCTACACTACAGTTAACAGAGAGAATATGAATCGGACGCCCAGCGGTACCGCCGCCTGGCATTGCTTCGCGGGCGCTGTGACCCCTACTCTGCCTGCTCCTTTCGCCTTCGCTCCTGCTCCCTGAGAGACTTCATGCTTAAGAAGTCGCTCTCTGACATAGCACCACGCGTCGAAACATTGCGTTTGGCACTAATTGAAGCAAAAAATATATTAAATTCCCGGCCATAACCAGAACTACCAATTGATCACGAAGAAGACGAACCTCTGACAACCAAACATTTTTATTGGGATGCGCAAATACCACTCCAACACCATATCCACCAGAAAATATTTTATGCATACGAAAACAATGAAAAATTGCACAATGTATTAAGGATAAAATCGAAACTTTGAAATATCTTGAATGAAAATATGTTGAAAAAAAGTGAATTTACGAGATTCTGAAATAACATATAATAGTAATAGTCATCAGAACATCTTCAGAAATAAGTTAAGTTGTCCTGTTTTTCAAAATATTTTCATTTTCACTTTGAGGTATGACTACTTTATGTTATTTCAAAATTTCAGATTTAGTTTGTAAGGATGTGTCTTGGGCCGGGGTGAACCTCAGCGGCCCAGGATTCCTTTCCAGAAATATTTATATTTTTAGAGACGGCCAGAACATGGACGCCGAGTTTTTATTGAGTTTTCTAGGGAAATAATGGCAGCGAAAAGGGGCTCGTTTTAAAAGGGGAACTCTGGCTTCGGGAAATGGGAAACTTGAACGGCAACCCTGGCGGTGGCCAGGTGCTCCTCCGTGGCGGGAGACAATGCAGATCGGACGGGAGGAGAGGGAAAAAGGGGAAAATCTTGGAGCACGCGCCGGCGGCGACGAGCACGTGGCTCGGGAAGACCCAGCAGGCCAATGCCCACGCCGGATCTGTGCCCGGGAAAACCCAGCGGCGACAAATCCCGCTCCCGTCCCGCTGCCCTGGCCCGGAGCTTGCCCAGCGGCCACGCGAAGTTGGTGCGGGAGAACCCAGCCACCAGCTCGGCGAGTGAGTGAGTAGGAGGGGAAACACTTTTGGCACGCGTCACAATTAGGGATGATTTTTGTTACGGTCGTCGGCTTGGTTTACGTCTCTGTTTACGTTTTCGATCGTGTTTATTTACATGCCGATCGTATTTGTTTTTGTCCCGGAGGGGAAATGTCGCTGCCTCTGCCGCTGTCGCGTCGGCTTGCGTCGGCAGCGGAGAAGGGAAATGTTTTGAGCGCGGCCGCGACTGTTTTAGTGCGGCCAGCTTTTGTTGTTAATGTAGGTCGCGGTCCCTACAGTCTGTCTTTAAGAAATGTGTACGCTTGTTCGTTGCGGTCATAATTCAAATATAATTTGGCCCTTATTGGGCAACGTAACTTATGGCTTCATGCCCGGATATATACAGTTGTGTGTTTTTTTTTGTATTCGAGATTTATTCCACTATTTACTATCTTACATTTACAAAAATTTACACTACTGATTAGACAAGACGGAAAAGATTTTGCGTAGAAGTACGGGCTCACGGGGTGGTATGGGTGTACCAATCCAAGGCAAAGTCAACAGGGCAACTGTTGACGAATATTCCTTGGCTCAAATGGTACACCAAGTCGACTCGTAGGTGAATATCGGTTTGATAGACACCACCTTCTCCTGGGAGAAGGTCCTCCGCGTGGTACCTCCTGGAAACGTACTGCGGTACGGCCAATGCGAGCGGCACCTCCAGTGAATCCCTCACCTAATAATCCTCTGCCTCCCAATCCCTACCGAGACATGGGCAAGTCTTAAAACTACCTCCCCTCAAGTCAGGCGTGTAAAGCGACCCGTGCTCACTGACTATAAGGTTCGCAGCTGAGGGGTTAAACCAGCTGTGTTCGAACGGAGCCTTCCCAGGGCCGGGCAACCCTGGGTCGGAACGAGCCTTGCCGTGGCTTAGGGGCGAAGCCACGGTCGAACTTCCTTCAATGCCCCGAACCCCTCGGGCCCGCCGCGCTCGCCCTGTCGAGCAACGCGGGCGTTTATGAAAATGAGCACAACTAAAAAATCCGCTTCGGACCTCGTGGGGGAGGTAAAACCCCACCACAAATCGACGGAAAGCGAATTGGACGAGGAGGAGCTACTGCGCTCAGACGACGAGACGCTAGCTCCGTCCAATACAGAGGGAGGTGTAAAGACAAGCACACCTCAAACGATACAACCGAAGCACACTAAAGCGGCGGCAAGCCAAGCCAAAGCGACCGGCGAACACGGGAAGACAAAACCGTGGACCCACCAACAACGAAAGGCGCAGGCAAGCAAGGCCCATTTCATCCTCGCCGAAATAGCGAGGAATGAAAAGGAGGGCAAAGCCGAAATTTCTAGCAGTAAGAAGGAGCACCCAGAGACGTCTTTGCCTCCTCAAGCAAAGCGCAACAAGAGGTGAGCGAGAGCGCTCCAAAGAGAGCCAAGGACGCTAAGGGAGCACCGAGGCCGACCACGTTCGTCAAACCGGCGAAAAAGTTCAGCGAGGTGGCCAGAGACAGCCACGCAATGGCACTTATAGACGAGCTCAACGACGATGGGCGCCTTCTGATGGAGAAATGGGAGGAGGTCGAGACCCAGCTGGCGGAGATGGTAACCGACAAATTACTGTCCGAGCCAACGGGCCAGTCACCCTCCTTTGACTCCTCAGACATGGTTAGGGGGCACCGGGTAATCAGGTGCGACGACGAGTTTTCGCGGGACTTCCTGGCGGATTTCGTTGCCAGACTAAGCAAAGCATGGAAGGGGATTAGCATAAAGCTAGTCCCCGCCAAGGACATCCCAAGGAGACCCAGAGTTCGCATCTGGTTGCCCAAGGGGCTGTCTAGTCATGAAAGGGTGCTCAAGACTCTGCGAGCAATGAATAAGGGAGTCGACATGGAGGACTGGGCCATTCTCAGAGCTGAGCGAGAATTTAAGTCCAGCCAGCCATATCTGTTCTTAATCAACCAGCGCTGCCTAGAACAGCTGAAGGCAGCAGACAACAAGGTCCGGTACGGCATCCGGAAAGCCAAGGTGAAGGTCTTCCTAGACGAACCGGACGACATCCTGGAAGATGAAGTCGAGGACGCCAATAAGCTGCTGGACGATTTGGCGATCGACGACAGCACCCCCAACACCACCCCGATCTAATGCCGACGGTCGTTCAGATAAACCTGAAGCGCAGCTCCCACGCTTCAGCTAATCTGGGGGTCCTTCTCCGGGAGAAGGACATCGACATCGGCCTTATACAAGAGCCATGGACGAGGGACGGACAAATCTCCGGCATGGCCATAAAGGGATACACAACATTGTACACAAATTCGACAGGTAGGCCGAGGGCGGGTATAATCATTAAAAACAACCTTAATGCTCTTCTTTACCCCAATCTCAGCAACTTAGATCTAGCAGTGGCAAGATTCAAGGCGGCGGATGGGACAGCCATACTAATAGCCTCCAGTTACATGGCCCACGACGAACCTGCACCACCTGAAGCGGTCAATAGGGTGATGCAGTGGGCCGAGGAGACTAAGACGACGCTCATCCTCGGGTGCGATGCCAACGCAAGGCACACACTGTGGGGAAGTAAGGAGACAAACGAAAGGGGTGAGTCCCTCTTCGATAGTATTATATGTCGTGACGTCAATATCTGTAACAAGGGAAACACGCCCACCTTCATCTTTCCAAGCACGGAAGGATTTCAGGGCTGGGAGGAAGTCCTAGACATAACCCTCCAAATGGAGCATAGTGATTACAAGGTAAGAAATTGGAGAGTCTGTACACAAGACTCGTTTTCAGACCACAGGTACATATTCTTCGAAATCGTGATGCCGGTATGTGAAACGGCGCCGAAGCGAAACCCTCGAAACACTGACTGGGACAAATACGGAAAGATTGTACAGTCAAAGGTCAAAGACAGAAGGATCAAGACCCGATCCACCCCGGAGAGAATAGATAAGGAAGTCGAGGACTTCACAAATATTCTGAACAAAGCCTACAAAGAGTCATGCAGACTAACATACTCTAAAAAGACATACCCACCATGGTGGAACAAAGAGCTATGCGAGCTCAGAAAGAAAGTTCGGAAAGCCTTCAACACAAGTTACGGTACCAAAGACTGGCAGCCGTACAAAGCAATACACAAAGAATACAAAAAGGCAATCTACGTAGCCAAGAAGGAATCTTGGAGCAGCTACTGTGAATCGCTTGAAGGAGTCAAAGACGGCGAGGCTAAGTAAAATCCTATCGAGAGGACACACAAGCCCCACGCTCATAAACATACCTGATGGGACAGAAAGTACGTCGGCTGAAGAGTCACTGGAAATCCTGCTGAATACGCATTTCCCAGGAAACCAAACAGAAGAACCTAGAATAATGGAAAGCCAGGGGGCAGACCAGCAGCTACAAGTAGAAGATATCATCACCATGGAAAGAATCCATTGGGCGATAGATTCCTTCGACAAATACAAAAGCCCGGTTCCAGACGGAGTAATACCGGCAATGCTACAAACAACGAAAGCAAGCACGGGAAAATGGCTGCAAGCAATCTTCCAGGCATGCATTAAAACAGCACACATACCACTTCCATGGAAGGAAGCGAGGGTAGTCTTCATACCAAAACCAGGAAGAAGGGGACACATCCAAGCCAAGGATTATAGGCCGATAAGCCTTACCTCCTTCCTAATGAAAACACTGGAACGGATCATTGATATCCACATCAGAGAAAGAACGGAGAAAAGCCTTTCCAATGCGCAACATGCGTACAGGAAAGGCAGATCCACGGAAACAGCATTACACGTGGTAGTGCGATACATAGAAAGGCTCTACTTTTCAAAAACTACGCCATGGCCACCTTTCTGGACATAGAAGGAGCCTTTAATAACGTCAATGCGGATTCCATCCTGAGTTCCCTCAACGGTATAGGAGTAGAGGGAGGCATCAGGGCATGGATTGGCTGACGAGCAGGAGGATAACAGCCGAACTGAGTGGCACTCATCACACAAGATTTGTGAAGAGGGGCACACCTCAGGGGGGAGTCCTGTCCCCACTGCTCTGGCTGATAAACATGGACGACGTACTAAGAACACTAAATAGCGAAGGAGTAAAAGTGGTAGCATACGCAGACGACGTAGTCCTACTCACTTCAGGACCATTCCCCGACGTCATCAGCGAACTAATGACAAGGGCACTTACTAAACTCAATGCATGGGCAAAAACCTGCGGATTGGGCATAAATCCAAGTAAAACGGAACTAATGCTCTTCACTAGAAGAACTAAGGTCCCTAGCTTCACAAAGCCAAAGATAGATGGCATAGAACTAGAGATATCACAGCAGGCAAAGTATCTGGGAGTGATACTGGATGCGAAACTGTCATGGAAACAAAACATCAACGAGAGAGTCAAGAAAGCAAGCATAGCATTCTATTCCTGCAGGAAGATGTTCGGAAAGAACTGGGGCATCCACCCCAGGATAATAATATGGCTTTACACAGCGGTGGTAAGACCCATACTCACATACGGAGCACTAGTATGGTGGCCAGCATTAACTAGGGCATACAACGTACAGAAACTAACAAGGAAACAGAGATCGGCATGCGCAGGAGCCACAGGAGCACTGAGATCATGCCCCGCGGCGGCGCTGAACGCCATCCTGAACATAATACCGATAGAGCATTTCATCAGGAACACTGCAGCACAAGGTGCGGTACGACTTAAGGCTAGCCAAAGCTGGAAGGACTACCACACCGGGCACTGCAGGATCCTGAACGAGATAAACTATCGGACGACAGTAGACACAGACTACATGACAACCGAACTGCGATTCGGTAACACATACACCACTATATACCCTACAAGGGAAGACTGGAAGAGAGGGAGAGTAACCGAACCGGACGAAGTATCACTCTACACCGACGGCTCAAAGATGAGCGGCGGAGTAGGGGCCGGAATCTACGCCGAGAGCTGGAAGGTGGAGGAATACTTCCACCTCCCAGAGTCAGCGACGGTTTTCCAGGCGGAGGTTCTCGCGATACTGAAAGCTGCCGAACTTTCGCTAGACCGAGGCCTCCGGAATACCAAGGTGAGGATATACTCAGACAGGCAGGCGGCGATCAAATCCCTCGCACAAACACGGACGAATTTAAAACTAGTGGCCAAATGTAAAGGGGCACTAAACAGACTAGCAGAAGACAACAGGGTACAAATAGCCTGGGTACCCGGACACAATGACATAGACGGAAACGAGAAAGCAGACGAGCTGGCCAGAAAAGGGTCAGAAGAACACTCAGCAACAACAGACATACAGATCTCCCTGAACTCAGTCCAGACGAAAATTCATGACCATTTCAAACAACTAGCCAGCAAGGAATGGTCGACGAAGGCAGAGCACAGAAGATCGAAACTATGCTGGCCAGAATTCAATAGGAAGAGATCCGCAGAACTGATCTCCAAGAGCAAAAAGGACATCAGGAGGATAGCGGCAACCATCACCGGCCACTGGCCAACAGGCACGCAAGCCTGTAGGATGGGTCTACCCTACAACCCACAATGCAGAACCTGCAAGGAACCAAGCGAGCAGGAGACACCAGAGCATCTGCTGTGCCACTGCCCGGCACTCAACAACAAAGAGCCCGACACTTCGGAGCACACCAACTCGAGTCACTAAGGGAAATTGGAAGGCAGCCAGTAGCGGCCATCCTAGCTTACCTGAATGACACGGGATGGTACTAAGTGGGGCGCAGACAACAACAAATCGAGGGTGTGGATCAAAACGGAGCTCAGCTCTAATTGGAGGCGGCCAGGGCTGCCTCACCACTTATACCTACCTATCTACGGGCTCACGCCGTGTGGTACCGCCGCATGGCATTGCTTCGCGGGCGCAAAAGCCCCTACTCCGGCCGCTCCTTCCGCCTTCGCTCCAGGGTCCTGAGGGTCTTCATCACGCAAGCGGCAAATGAGTTTGGTCTTCGAGCATCCTCGGTACCAAGGATTCGGCGCTGATCGTGGATCCAGCTACCTCCTCTAGCTCCTGCCTCTCCAGGCCAAACCTCCGGCACTCGAAGAAGACGTGTTCCGCGTCCTCCACAATGCCAGATCCGCACTCCGGGCACCAATCCTCCGTCTCGTGGCCGAAGCGCTTTAAGTAATGGCGAAAGCATCCGTGGCCGCTTAACACCTGGCTCAGGTAGAAGTTGACCTGCCCATGCGACCTCTCTACCCATCGCGCTATGTCTGGGATGAGTCGGTACGTCCAACGGCCTTTAGAAGAGGAGTCCCATTGGGACTGCCAGTTTTCTATGCTCCTCCTTCTAGCGGCAACCTTTAGCTCTGCTCTGGACGGCAGTGCCCTCCTGTCCTGCATGGCTGCGAAGATTTCCTTCCTCTCCCGGATGAGCTTCGCCAGTGGGACTTGGCCTGCGATGACCAGTGCCGCGTCTTCCGAGATAGTCCGGAACGAGCACGCGATCCTGATAGCGCATACTCTGTAGGTCGCCTCCACTCCTCGCATGTAGCTTTTGACCGAAGCAGCTTCGGCCCAAACTGGTGCCGCGTACAGGATCTGCGCGGTCACCACAGATGAGAGGAGTTTCCTCGTGTACTGCCTTGGACCTCTAGTATTCGGCAGCATCCTGGAGAGCGCTCCAGCCGTACCGCTGGCCTTTTGGTGGACGTACTCCAGGTGCTCCTTGAAGGACAGCCGGGTGTCGATGATGACGCCCAGGTACTTGATCGCCCTCTCGTCCCTCCAACCAGCACGCTAGCAGTCTCCACCGCTTGGCCGCCAGCTTCAGACCTGCAACCGCCAGCCACGACTCTACGGCTTGGATGTCCGCGCGCGCCTCCACAGATGCTAGCTCCTTTGCTACCACCACTATAGCGACGTCGTCCGCGAATCCAACCAGGTTGGTGCTGACTGGCATCGAAAGCCTCAGCACGCCGTCGTACATTGCGTTCCAAAGGAGAGGACCCAGGACGGAGCCCTGCGGGACTCCGGCTGAGACGTTGTGCTCTTTGGGACCCATGCTAGTGTCCATCATGAGTACCCTGTTGCTGAAGTAGCTGTGAGCTACGTTCAGCAAGTACCCAGGAATGTTAAAGTTCCTCAGGGACTTTAGCGTACGGCTCCAGTCTGCCGAGTTAAAGACATTCCTGATGTCCAGGGTGACCACCAGGCAGTAGGACTTGCTTCCTCCTTTCCACCTGGTTCCGGCAATGGCATCCTGCGCCAATTTGACTACCTTTGCAATGGCGTCCAGCGTAGACTTCCCCTTCGTGAAGCCATATTGCTCCGGGGAGAGTCCACCAGCGGCTTCGATGGCTTGGCTCAGCCGGGTTGAGATCACCCTTTCGAATACCTTGCCGATCGTGTCCAGCAGACAGATCGGTCTGTAGGACGATGCTTCTCCTGGTGGCAGACGTTGCCTTTTCCATCTGTCGGGGAACGTCCCCTCCAGAAGGCACTTGTTGAACAGGCCTGCAACTTCGGAAGTCAGAAGCGATAGAGTCAGCTTGGTTGCTCTACTCGGAATCGCGTCTGGCCCCGGAGCCTTCTTGGGCTTCAGGCTTCTACCGGCAAGGAGAACCTCAGCTTCCATGACCCAACGGATGTCGCCCAACTCGGTGCTGGGGCAGATCAAGACCTGCCGACCGCTCGGGAACAGGGAGCCAACTATCCTCTCCAGCGTCGCCGGGTCGGTTGGGGCACAGCCACCCGCATTAAGCCTCTTTACTACCATTCTGTAGGCTCCTCCCCATGGATCCTCCTCGGCGGCGTCGCACAGCTTGAGGAAGCATTCTCGTTTGCTCTTCTTAATGGCAGTCTTGAGCTCCTTTCTTGCTGCCTTGTAGCGTTCGTTACACGTAAGAAGGCGCGGGGTGCCTGTAGCTCGCTGCAACAATCTTCTGCTGCGGTGGCATTTACGGCGCAGGTCCGCGATCTCCTCGCTCCACCAAAACACCGGGGAGTGGTGCTTTCTGAACGGCCTTCTTAGTAGCATGCTTTGGCTGCAAGCGCCCTCCACGGCCCAAGCCAGCTTTTCGGCCGTCTCGTTGGCTCCGTCTGCTTCGCCTGCCGTGAAGCCCTCGAGGGCATTTGCAAAATCCCGCGGCCTGAAGGTGTCTTGCCGGAACGCTTTCCTATCCGGGAGTAGGGACCCACTCGTGCGGGGCGCGGCGCCTATCGAGCACTCGATAGCCTCGTGGTCGCTGGCGGTATAGGCCTCGCTGATCTTCCATCGGGCGCGGCTGGCCAGCGCACTGCTGACATAGGTGAGGTCGATTACCGAGCCCACCCCAGCCCTGCTGAAGGTCTGCCGGGAGCCTTCGTTCAGAAGGACTACGTCCAGGGAGGCGAAGGTCTCCAGCACCGCTCGACCCCTGGCGTTGGTCCGAGAGGACCCCCATTCCATGGCCCAGGCGTTAAAGTCTCCGCCGACCACCACGTTGCTCCTCCCACGCAGGTCGCTGCACAGCTCGTCCAGTACCCTGCCAAACGCTTCCAGTGAAAGGCTGGGTGCCAAGTAGCAGCTGTATAGCCAGGTTCCGCCAATGTTCGCCCGAACGAACCCTTCCGCTGATTTGGTGTCGCGCATCTCCGGCGCATCCGCTCCGCAGCTCCACAGGGCCGCTTTGCCAGAAAGGTCAGTGGCCCAGTCGCGGTTGCTACCAACCCTGTAGGGCTCGCTTAGGACTGCCACCTCCGAGCCAAGCTCTCGCATCGTCTGCGACAGGAGATCCTGCGCTGCCCTGCAGTGGTTCAGATTGAGTTGAATCAACTGCATGGAGGTCGAAGATTCCCCTTTCCACTATCTGAGACTGGGCATCCCCTGGCGCCTGCCTTGTGCCTCGTCTCCTTCCTTCCAGCCGCAGCGCATATGAAGCATGACGGCTCCTTGTTGCACGAGGCCGCCTTGTGTCCCGGCTCGCCGCAATTAATGCAGCAACCGCTCCTGTCCACAGGGCCCTTGCAGTGGATCGCAATATGCCCTGGTTCTAGGCATCTGAAGCACCTCACGGGACCAAGTCGTTCCCGGATCCTGCAGATGGACCATCCAATCCGAACTTCACCATGATGGAGGACGGCTTTGGCAAGGGATACGGGAAGGCTGACTATTGCAGTTTGGGTTTCAGCAAAGCTGCGGCGCATACTCCGCACTTTTACCCTCTCCACCTCGAAGTTAAACTGGCCCGCGAGGGCGGCGCAGACCTCCTGCTTCGTCGCGATCGTGTCGATGTTGCGCACTTCCAAGACGAGGACTTTTGAGTCCTCAGTCGTAACGCGCACTGACGCTGAATCTCCGAGCACCTTCTCGATGTTCTCCTTCATTGTCGGCGCTCTCGGCGCTACCCTTCGCCACCTCCAGGAGCAGGTTGCCGTTGTTGGTTCGGCGAACCTTTGACACACAGCGTCCCAGGTCCGACAGCTGCTTGTCGTCTCTCCTCGTCACCATTGCGAGCACCTCGCTGTAGGACTTGCCGCTCGCGTGGACAATGACAGCGTCTGGCCGAGTGCGGCGCGCTGTTCTGGTCTTCCTCGCCACGACCTCCCATTCGTTTTCGGGGTTCTCCTGGCTCACAGGCTTCCGGGCTGGCCTATGCTGCTCCGATGCAACATGCACAGCCGCTGGCGGCTTCGCACGGGGCTTCTTGGGCGCCTTTGCGCTTTTCTGCTGCGCTAGACGAGGGAGTGGCGGGGCCAGCACCGGTGCGGGTAATCCCGGCGCCTCTGGCTGGCTAAGCCTTCTCCACGGCTCGGTTTGGACCGATGCCTCCTTTTTCCAGGCGGTCGCCGTTTGCTGCTCCTTGTCCGCGCTTTGGGTGATCTGGGCGCATTTCCGGCACAGGTTATTCGCGACCCGGCTCTCCTGCCTGTCGCTGACACCTGCCGCGGCCGTTCTGTTTGCTACAAGGATGTTGGAGTGCAGGGACTTCACCTTGGCAATCATCTCCCTCAAGGACATAGAGATGTGACGCGTCGTTTTGTCCATCATCTTCAATGAAACCTCATGCAGCAATTTTCCCATCTCCTGGAGATCCTGCTGGCAAGCTGCCTTTACTGACGCCTTGCATTTCTTGGCCGGCGTAGTTCTTGGTGAACCAGCCGGGCTTGCAGGGTCTCGTGACCTCTTGGGGGGCGGCGTAGAGTCTGAGCTCTGCCCTCCTTGGGTCTTGTGCAGCTGTGGCGATCGGGCGAGCTTTCTGCTCTTGGTGAACGCCGCTGCCTCTTCCTCTTCCCTCGATGCACATGGCGACCCCGCCAGTGCTGTTCCGCCCACGACGGGGTTTAATTCTTCCATAGCCGGCTTGTCGGTCAGCGCCGAGCTCCCACGCTGGCCAAGGATTTCCCCCTGGCTCTGCGACGGGGGTTATACCGCCCCGACTCGGTCCCCGAAGTCCCTTGATCGGGACACCGCCTAGGCGGGGAATCGGAGCTTGGTCAGATCCGAGACCTTTTTCCGCCTGCCAGCAGCGCGACCTTACACGGCGTCGGGTTAATAATTATTTAATTGTTTAATTAATTAAATCAGGCAACCAACCAACTAGTAGAACAATTCCAACTAATCAAACCAACCAATCAACTAAGCCAACTAAATCAATCAACCAATTAAAACAATCTAACCAACCAAACCAATCAAACAAATTTAACTTAATAAAATTAATTAAATTACTTAAATCAATTAAGTTGACCAGCTCAACAAAATCAATCCAATCAATTAATTCAGTTTAAATTAAATTAAATAAATTAAACAAATCAAATCAAACAAAGCAACTAATCAATCAAGTCAACTAAATCAATTAAATTATTAATCAAACCAATAAGATCGATCAGGTTAATCAAATCAATAATTAACTAGGTCAATCAAATCAATCAATTAAGTCAATCTAACCAATTAAATCAGTTAGACCAGTCAGGCTAATCAAACTAATAGAATTAATTATTTACTTATTTATTTATTTTGAATCAAATGTAAATCGCGGAAGGGCGGGAAGCTTGGCCGCGAGCACTTTCCAACACTAAGAGTGTCGTGCTGTTAAGCGCGGCTGTAGGAGCTCCTGCGTTAGCGTTGCTCAACACTACGATCAGCCGCGATCAGCTGTGTATGCGTGCCAAAAGGAAAACGGGGGAAAAAAGGCTTGTGGATGGTGGAAAGCGTGAGTGGAGTGAAAAAGAAAGGCGTTTGCTGGGAAGAGAGGCGAGAGTACCCCCTCCCCTTACCTCCAAGCTTCTGCGGCGGTTTGGGTGCCAAGATTTTTTGGGCACCTGAGGCCTGATGGGTTTGAAATCCAGGAACGTTCCGGGTATGTACCACTGACGCCGGGAATCTCGCACTACACTTCTGTTCCTTTTCCAGGAAGAACTTAGCACTTTTAACCGGCTTTAAAGGATAAAACTTCGGAGCACGATTAAAACTCGACTTAGTACGTATACGGTTGATCTATACAGTTGTGTGTGTTGTGGTGTGTGTGTGTGTGATCTTAACTTATATACTAGTCCCTATGCCTTACTCTATATCCTATTCCCAACTCTATATCTTATTCCAATAGGAGAGTGACGATTACTCTTCCGCTCCGGTTCACTTGGACTCGGAACCGCTGATTTCCCTCCTCCTCCAGGACCCGGATCGTCCGTCGCCTCGGTACCGCCAGGCGCCCGAGTATCCGGCGAAGCAGGGCTGCTGGCAGGGTGCCGTTCGGCGTGGTCCACTCCGCCGGGGCAGACACCCAGCGGGGAGGGTTGAGGGCTCCCCCGTCGGTGTCTAGTGACGACTCGTCGGACGAACTAGACGGACTGTGCGCCCAGGGCGCGCTCCGACGTCGTGCTCGGCGGTGTGGGTTCGGTGGTGGTGGGTTGTCAGCTGGTGATGGATTTTCAGCTGCTGGTTGGGCCACTAGCGGGATGCCAAGTTCCTCCCTAAGGTCCTCCGCTCTAAGACGTGCCTCCTCCGCGGCCAGCTCCGCGATGGTGGTCAGCCGTGGTCGAGGGTCGCATCTTGAGGTGACCGCAGCGCATCGGGCGGTGGCGTGAGGCCCGGCGTACAGCCCCGGGCCAAATATCTCTTCGTACGAGGGCGGAGGTGATGGGTAGCGAGTGGTGGCGGGTGGTGTCCAGCTTTGTGGCGGCGAAGGTCCAGCGTGCGTGGTGCTGGGCGGAGTCCAACGCGGGGGCGGCGACTGTGAGGCGTTGGACCAGCCACTGTCCCGGCTAGTCTCGTCTTCGTCGGCCGTAAGGGTCGATGATGGACGTCCGGGTGGACCTCCTCCTCGTCATCGCCACGGTGGGTGACTTCCGGAGGGGGTTGTTGTGACCCAATGGAATCGGTGTGCAGGGGCACTAGGGGCGGTATTCCCCTTGCAGGTGCTGGACGTAGTTCGTCGCGGTTCCCTGGGTTCACTCCCTCCTCGTCATCGCCACGGTGGTGGGCGACTTCCGGATGGGGTTGTCGTGGTCCAATGGGGCTGACGTGGAGAGGCGCTAGGGGCGGCACTCCCCTGGTGGGAGGCTGACGGAGTCCGGAGCGATCGTCCGGGTTTGCTCTCTCCGTGTTGTCGTCGTTAATGATGATAACCTCGACGGGTAGAGCCCGTGACCGGAAGAGGCCGGCGCTATGGGAGACGAGGCTGCCTCTGGGAAGGGGCTGGCTTGGTCCGGCGCCGTAGAGCGCCTGTAGGAGCTCGTCGACCGCACCGTGCATCCACGCTGTGTCTTGTGGCGCCGGGGCGGTAGTCGGCGTGGGGCCTTGTCCGTCCATCGTATTATTGGCTCAGTGACCCTTCGGTGGTGACAGTAATCTGCGGGGCGCGTGGATGGTCGTGCCTTGTGGTAGTCGGGCTGAGGGCGGTTGCTGTAAGGACAGAGGAGATTGTGTTAGTGAGTTGCCCTGGGCCCTACCTAACGGAGTGGGCTAGGGTTGGCTGGCTACGGCTACGGCCTTTTGGAAAGAGACGCATGTTCACCCCACTAGGGGGTTCGGGACGTTGGACAAGCGCGCCTGTCAACAAGTGGCCCCTGTGAAACATGGTCACCTCCCCCTACATGGGCGCTCGTCGCTAGTGTTGGCGGCGCGGGATGGGTCCTCTGCGCCGTGCGGTCTTGGCAGCTGGTTGCGCATCCAGGAGGGTGTCGTCGGCGTCTTCGATCGTGGTGTCTTCGGCGTCGGTGTCTTCCTGGTGGGTTCCGGCTTCGGTGTCGGCATCCTCCTCTTGGTGGTATGGCTTCAGCTGGTTTAAGCTGGCGGTCCGCCGGCGTCGGCTTCCTGGCATGTGCAGTTGCACGATGTTAGGCGATGGGAACTTTGCTACCCGGAAGGGTCCTTCGTATTTCGCAGCTAGCTTTGCGGCAGTTGCTCGCTTCGCTCTGTCGGGGTAACCTCTGGGGTGCCTCTTCCGGGGGTAACCTCGTCGTACAACGTCTTCGGGAGTCGCGGTTCTCGGCCTTGTACCAAGAATGCTGGGCTGAATCCGGTAGTGTCAGAGACACTACTGTTGATGGCCAGTGATATCTCTGGCAGGAGTTGATCCCATTCGTTCTGCTGGCCTCCATCTAAGTACTGGGCGATCATCGTATTGATCGTTCGGTTTTCCCTTTCCGTGGGATTCTGCCTCGGGGTGTAGGGCGCCGTGTGCTGCAGCTCCATTCCCAGGAACTGGCAGAACTATTGGAACGAAAGACCGGTAAACTGTGTACCGTTGTCGCAGACAAATGTCCGGGGAACGCCGAATCGGCTCAAAATCCGTTCTCTAAAGGCCCACTCCAGCTGAGTCGCGGTAGCTTTGCGCAGTGGCACTAGCTCTACCCACTTGCTGAAGGCGTCCAAGAATACCAAAAGCATCGTACTGCCCTGTTTTGACCGCGGAAGTGGGCCGACGAAATCTGCGCAGAGGATGTGGAACGGTTCCTCGACCTGTCGAGTAAACATCTGACCCGCAGGTTTCTCTTGGCTCACCTTGTAGCGCTGACAAGTGGGACAACGACGAACGTACCGAGCCACTTCACGAAACAGTCCAGGCCAGTAATAGCGCTGGGCCACGCGAGTGCTGGTTTTCCGGACTCCTAGATGACAGGCGGTGGGGTGATCGTGGCATTCTTCGAGTACTCGCTGGCTATAGTCTGACCCTATGCACAGCTTCCAGGGCGTGTACTCCTCCTCCTCAGGTCGGAGTCCAAGGCGACGATATAGCTGGCCATTCTCCTCTCGGTAATCCGGAAACTTTGCTGGTTCAGCCCGAATCTTCTGGAGCATCCTCGTGATCCACTTGGGCAGCGGTTGGCGAGAAAGGGCATCGGCCACTATGTTCTGGGCCCCCTTCCGGTAATGGACATCGTACTGATACTGTTGTAACTTCAGTGCCCAACGGGCAATCCTGCCTGTTGGATTGTCGATGGAGTTCAACCACTTCAGAAAGTGGTGATCTGTGAGGACTTCAAAGCGATATCCCTCGATGTAACACCGCATCTTCCGAATTGCCCAGACGATGGCAAGACACTCCTTCTCGGTCACCGAGTAGTTCCTCTCAGCGGTGTTGAGCCGGCGGCTGGCGTACGCTATCACCCTCTCGTTTCCATCGATGGTCTGTGTGAGTACGGCTCCGATTCCGTAATCGCTGGCGTCGGTCTGTAGCACAAACTTCTTTCCAAAATCTCGACAAGCTAGAATGGGGGCTTCGGTCAGCAGCGTCTTCAACTCCTGGAAGGCCTGGTCTTGTCTTTGGGTCCATTCCCAATTGTGGCCCATCTTCAGCAGCGATGTCATGGGTGCCACAACATCGGCGAAGTTCGGCACGAAGCGCCGATACCAGGAAGCGATTCCCAGGCACCTGCGTAGCTCCTTCAGGTTCGTCGGCGGCGCGAGTCCACGGATCGCAGCGACCTTGTCCGGGTCCGTGTGGATTCCGGCTTCGTTGATCAAGTACACGATGCGGCGCTGGAAGAAGTGGCACTTCCCTATGTTGAGGCGCAGGTTTGCGCAGCGGAGACGTCTGCAGACCTCTCCGAGGTTGGCGACATGTTCCTCCAGTGTGGAACCGATGACAATGATGTCGTCCAGATATGCAAACGCGTGGGGTTCCATATCCGGACCGATGACCGTGTCTAAGGCGCGTTGAAACGTGGCGGGAGCGGAGTGAAAACCGAAAGGCATGACTCGCCAAGGAAACAACCCTCTTCCGGGAACGGTAAACGCCGTGCACTCCCGGCTGTCCGGGGCCACTGGGATTTGCCAATACCCGTTTTTGAGGTCCAACGTCGAGATGAACTTCGCGTTCCGGAGCCGTTCCAAGATTTGATGGATCCTCGTAAGCGGATATGCGTCCGGCACGGAGTTCTCGTTGAGTTGGCGATAGTCCACGCACATGCGGACTTCGCCATTCTTTTTGGCCGCGATTACGATGGGCGCGCTGTGCGGACTTTTCGATGGTTCAATGCGTCCGTCTCGGAGGAGTTCATTGATCTGCTTGTCAATGACGGCCCTCATGGCTGGATTTCTTGGAAAGTACCGCTGTTTAAGGGGTCGATCGGTGCGCATGAAGATGCGATGCTCTGCGATGTGTGATACCCCTGAAGAGTATCAAATTTTGCCAGTTCCTGGTCCAGGAACTCCTTCACCCAAGGCTCGGGGTAATCCTGCGTCTCGGGTTCTTCTGTCCGGAATGAGACTTGCTCCTCTGTGGGATGACTCACCGAATTGACGGTTCCGCATAGGGGCGGGCTCTGCTCCGGCGTTTCCTCGACGTGATCCTGGAAGCGGACACGTTTTGTGCAGGCACGGAAAGGATTCCGTTGCGCGGCTGTGGCGTCTGCCACGGGCAAAGCCTGTCTCCAACAGGGCGGCTGGTTCTCCGTCGCTGGTGAGGTTGTGTCTCGAAACTGTGCTCGAGGCGAGGTACTGGGCTGTTCTTCGGGTTCGGAGCGTGGCTCCCTTGATTGCCCTCGATGGGTAGAGCGTGGCTCTCCTTGGGCTGTCGTCGGTGGCTCCGAATGGATGGAGTGTGACTCCGTTGTCGTCTTTCGTTGATCAGAGCATGGCTCTGCATGGTGTGCCGTTGGTGGCTCTTCGTGGTAGGAGTGTGACTCCTCCGATGTGCTTCGCTGATCAGAGCGTGGCTCTGTGGGTTGGTCCCGTGGGTTGGAGCATGGCTCCCTTCGCTGGTCAGAGCGTGGCTCTGTTGTCGGTCTTCGCTGGTCAGAGCGTGGCTCTGTTTTCCTGGCCGGGGCGTTCCGTGTTCCCGCAGCCCAGGGATTTTTTTTTTTTTTATATTCGTTATATTTATTCTACAATATATACATACACTACACATAAACATGGATGGCTTAACAGTTAACAGAAAGAATGCGAATCGGACGCCCAGCGGTACCGCCGCCTGGCATTGCTTCGCGGGAGCTGTGACCCCTACTCTGTCTGCTCCTTTCGCCTTCGCTCCTGCTCCCTGAAAGACTTCATGACGTCCGCGGCGAATGTCGCTGTAGCCTCCCACACACGCTGGTCTGCCAGCATCATCGGCACCAGTGTCTCTGCCTCGAACAGCACGTGCCGCGCGTCCTCGACGACGCCGGAGCCGCACACTGGGCACCAGTCCTCCGTCTCATGGCCGAACCGCTTTAGGTAGCTGCGGAAGCAGCCATGACCGCTGATCACCTGGGTGAGGTAGAAATCTACCTGCCCATGCGACCTCTCTACCCAGCTCGTAATGTTGGGGATGAGCGTGTGCGTCCAGCGTCCTTTTTGCGATGAGTCCCAGCGATTCTGCCAGTTCTCGAGGCTTCTCCTTCTGGCGGTAATCTTCGACTCTGCTCTCGTCTGGTGGGTTGCTTCCGTGACCTGCGCGGCTGCGTATATCTCCGCCCTCTCCCGAACGAGCTCCGTCAACGGGACTTGTCCGGCGATAACCAGCGCCGCGTCTTCCGAAAAGGTTCGGAAGGCGCACGCGATTCTGACGGCGCACAGCCTATAGGTTGCCTCCACCCCTCGCACATAGCTTTTCACCTTAGCTGCTTCCGCCCACACTGGCGCTGCATACAGCATATGCGACGTCACAACCGTCGTGAGCAGCTTCCGGGTTACTTGCTTCGGCCCTCTAGTGTTTAGCAGCATCCTGGATAAAGCTCCTGCGGTTCCGCTGGCCTTCTTGTGCACAAATTCCAGGTGCTCCTTGAAGCACAGGCGCGTGTCTAGAAGAACGCCGAGGTACCAGATTGCCCGCTGGGACCGTATCGTCGTTCCACCGACCCTCACGCTAGCTGTCTCCACCGCTTTTCGACTTGAGACAAGCACCGCCTCCGTCTTGTGGGCCGCCAGCTGCAACCCTGCGTTCGCTAGCCACAACTCTACAGCCTGCACCGCTGCGTCAGCGTGAGCCTCCACCGTAGCTAGCTCCTTGGCTACCACCACTATGGCGACGTCATCGGCAAAACCAACCAGCTGGTGCCCTCTGGCATTGGGAGTCTCAGAACTAGATCGTACATGGCGTTCCAGAGCAGGAGTCCCAAATCGGAGCCCTGCGGGACTCCGGCTGAGACTTTGTATGCTCTGGAACCCAGGCATGTGTCCGTCGTGAGCACTCTGTTGCTAAAGTAGCTTAGCGCTACATTGAGCAGGTAGCTAGGGATGTTGAACATCCTCAGGGACTCCAATGTCCGCCCCCAGTCAGCCGTGTTGAACGCGTTTCTAATGTCCAGGGTTACCACTAGACAGTAGGATTTCGTTCCTCCTTTCCACCTGGAACCAGCGATGGCTTCCCTAGCTGTCTTGACCAC